TAAAGAACTTGAGAACTGTGTGGTGGGATCCTCTTTATTCTTCTTGCTCGGTAGAATAGTAAGAGCGTTCTACTCTCGCGGTAGACTGCCCTGTTACAGCTTATCGGAGAACCATTTCACGAGTGCCATGATGAGGCAAGCTCCAGTCACTGTACTGTACCCCATCGCACGGGCGAAAGTTCAATCCATGGTGTCGATTACTTGCTTTCGTAACTTTCCCTTGTTGCTGTTCATGGGACGTCAGGAGTAGCAACCTATATGCAGTAGTAAACATTTAAAGTGAATGTCAACAAATTTGAAAGAAATGCAAAGATACGAGTATTATCGTAATGTGTTTTGAAGCTCATGATCTTGTTGTATATGGACAACAACATTCTCTCCCACTCCATGGTTTTGTTCGAACTAAAAGACAAGTAGCACCTGTCTTACATGGCCACCGGATCAGAATGAATGCGTTCACCGAAGAACTCGAGAAAAATGTCAGTCCATCAACAATGTCCAAAGTTATCTGTGTATTCAACAAATCAATGCAAGGGAATACACAATTGATTTAATTTTTGGGTGTTCTTATTTTGCTTCCTAGAGGATAGGTCTGGAGCGGTGTGAACCAAAGCAAGTTGCTGTTATAAACATTGAGGTTCAAAGGCGATGTGAGAGAAGGCGGATGCACTAAGGAATGGATTGTGAAATTGAATTAGTAACAAGATCCATAAGAGCACAAACTACAGGTAAAGATGTGTTCATATATATTACACTCGAAGTTTATGTTGTTTGTTTGATTTATTTTTTCCGAACCTGAGAAGAGCGACAATCTTGTCGTCCGTATAATTAGTGTCTAGTTTTGTTTGGTAAAAGATAATTTTAATGACTGCGTACTATGAAGACACGTTTGAAAGTGAGGAAATGCTGATCAATAATATTATGGAAGGGAAAATTTCTGATGAAGTCTATAACTAGTCTGCAACTTCTCACCTATATATTGAATCGCTCGCAGAGATGAGGTTCTTTGGTATTATATCCAGGGTGCTAGGTTGACTTTTGCTACATAACTTCTAGTCTATAAGTTGATATCGTGAATTAACCTTTACAGGTTACTGTTGTTCGTCTCTAATTAATAAACAAAGTTGTACAAAAAAGAATTGACAGCAAGAAACTGTCACATGAAGACAAAAGGAAAGATAGCTTCAAACACGAGATAGATTCTCCTGACACTGCATGAGCAAGAAGTTTATGAACATGTTAATAATCTTGAATTTCTTGTTTGTTGTAGCTCTCCTGGCATTGAATATTATATTGTAGTTGGCGATAAGTTATGCAAAAGATCCCTTTCGCTGCAACATGCGAAACGAATGCTCCAGTGACAAACTTCCTGTTCCTTTTACTGCAGGATGTATACTACAAAGTAACACGACCGTGGAGTCGAAGAAACTGGCTCTTGGATAGAACGTGGGATAAGGCCCGTAAGAAAAATTCACTTGCAGTCTACGTCCTTTAACTGGCATCTGAACCAGAGGTGCCATTTGTGACATACTGATGAGTATTACATGTATCAAAACTTGATGATGAGGCCAAAAGTTACCCGTGCCGAAGGTAATAACATATAAGAGATCATAGGGGCGGCTTGTAGACACTTTCAGTTTCACTTCTGAATTACAACGCATTCTTGTGATCAATTCGATCACTCTCTATAGTAGGATTAAATGCTTCATATGGACACGCAATCTCAGGAAATCTAGCAACCAAATTGAGGGCTCCCGACTGCAATTGTGCAATTCAAGGTCAATCCCGACTTGTAACGTTAACCTTGGAATAATCATTCATCTGCATTCAGAGTTCACACCTTTGTAGGCTCCACGGAGACTGCCATTGTGCCTTTGCCTTTGAAGTGGGACTTTGTAGACTCGAGTAGATGGTGGTGTTCCATTTGAGGCAAAAGTGGAGAATACTTACATGCGGAATGGCACCTACTCAGAATACCATGCAGATAGACATAATTAATGTCCTGCGAATCATTCTAGATCTTGGGGGCGGGCTAAGATCGAAACGATCTGGCCTTCATCAATTCTGTCTCTTAAGGATTTCTGCAACATTCGGCGGAGACCCTCGTGGGTTTCTTATCCTGGCGCTGAGAGTGGATGTAAGGGCTTTGTTTTTCTGTTGTCGAGCAGAAACCTTTTCCAATTTTGTGAAGCTCTAGATGAGGGCTTCTTCAAGTCCCCGTGGGCTTCTTATCTATCTCCTTTTACAGAAATAAGTGATGATTGAAAAAGGGAGCCCTTTGACAAGCACTTTATACCCGCTTTGAAGGAACAAAAGTTTATTTTGTCAACAGGATTCAAAAGCATGTATGAGTGCAGATGTAGACACGATCCCGTAACTACAAAACGATCTGTGGGTAGTATATAAACTACCTAAAAGAAAAGAACTGGATACTCATGTATTCCGCCGAAAAGGGCAAGGGAGAAATGTAAGCTGAGTCGTTCATCTACTCTGCCGGATAAGCGAAGTGTCATTCTCGAGGAATGCGACCTGTAAAGTGTACGAGGATGTTGGTTCAAGGTCTCTACTAGGGCGGTAAAGGAGAGGAATCAATTGAACTACAGGACATGCTCGTGAAACGTGAATCGCTCATCTACCAGCCAAGGGGCCAAGGGCTATATTTGTGAACAAACAGATCCTCCTACCCCATAGATTAGACGTAAGAAGAGAGAGCGAAGATGGAAGGAAGACGGCTACAGCCGCCGCCAGAGAAGGACGGAAGCGAGGATGAGAAATGAGAGAGCGAAAAGAAATGTGCTCGCAAATTCTCTGAATTGCCCACATGGGGGAGGCCCAGCCCAGGGGGGACTAGCTACGGTAGTCTTGCACCTGGGGACGAGATGCTTGGCTGTGGCTGGCTTGGCCTGCAAAAAGCTCTGACGAAAGTGCTCATTACCATTCCATTCCAGGCATCCTCCATGCGAACTGATAAGTTGATTCTTGGCTAAAGTGTCTTGACCGTGCCGCGAGAGCACGTCAAAACCTGTAATCAAACCTTGGCAGGGCAGATTCATTCTTATCAAGTTGAAAGTATTCGTAAGGAGCCTGGTCATGCGACTTCTGCGTCAGCAGAATTAGAGAAACTTTGGCACAGACGATCTGCCTCACAGGTCTACTGGCACTGTCCAGTATCAGTTTCTGAGATCGATAAGTCTCCAGTGACCGAAGCCAACTTGCTGTTTTTCGGATGGACAGCCAAGTCGACCTGGCGCCGAACTGCACCATGGAAGCACTTCGTGCGAAGGTGAATGAATGTTCGCAAAAAAGGAAGTCCAGAAGTAGGTGCAAATACGTGGCAAGCAAGGTTAGCGTTGTGGTCATGCAATTGTGTCTGGATTATGGAAGTGGGGCCGAAATTGGTAGAAGGGGGAGACTGGTTTCGGGTGCCGAGAAGTGACTCGGAGCAGAATGCAGAAGTAGTTGAGGACTTTTTCAGCAGAGATGTAAACTGGAGCCAAACCAAGCCAAACCAAATGTGACCATGAGTGAGAGAGAGAGAGAGAGAAAGAGAGAGAGAGCCGTTTGCATCATCATTGTTTTACTTCCCACTTTCCATCCGTTCTGGGATCCGGCCTGCACATGTCCCGCCCCTCGCGCTCTGATTGAACGAGGGAGACTGAGCCAAAGGGTTTTGACTCCGTCAAGCTCGCTCGAGATTGAGCCAAAGGTTTTGACTGCGTCATGCTCGCTCGAGCTTGACGGTGATGCTGAGATGACGGCGTTCTGTAAATTGGAACACGCACAACCAACCGAGGTCCAAAATTAATTTCGCCAAGCTTCCGAGCAGCGGCCCACAATCCGCAGCAGGGGCTTCGAGCACATTCCTCTCACGTCCCCTTCTCTACACACCGGTGCCCCCGACCTGCACCAACGTAGAAATCGTCGACTTCGCGTCCTGACACCATTGCCATCACCTCCCCTCGAGTGAGTACGTAGGAGTCGCAGTTATTTCCAGCCTCGAGACAAAGATACATACACTCCATAACAATGTCTAAAAGCCGAAAAAGTTCCACAAAAGGACAAAATCCCGGGCACCGGATATACCCGGGCGCGTCGTCTACCCCTCGATCTGTTGCCCCTCGCTGTCTGGCCTTGTGAGAACCGATCGCCATCAGGGGGAGGGAAGGCGCAAACCGCCGTTCCACCTTTCCGATCGGGTAGTTTTCTTACAGGTCCAGCTTTGACTTTCTTACCGGTGCGTTTTGACTGTTACCGGCGGTCTTTGACTCTTACCGGCCGGACGTGCTTTCACCCATCTATTTCAGTAGGTGTTCGACGGCTTGTGATTCGCTCGCGCCAAGATTGGACACAGTCTGTGGCAAAGCCAAATCTGAGGCCTGCTGGTTTGTTGCTCCGCTGCGCTGCTGGCCGGGAATCCGTTCTGAGGACGGACGGTCTAGTGCCTGGGTAGCCACTCGCCATCCCCCGACTGCTTGGTATCCACTTATATATTGAAGTCACTGCACATGGTTAGATTCAAATTGGGTTGTGTTCTGTGTTGCGACGCATTCTCAGGCAAGGCAGTCACTCTCAGCAGGCAGGCAGGCAGGCATCAGGCAATCAGGGCCTTGGGAAGAGAATGTTCTTGTGGACGAGCATGTCACCAGAAGAAGCGTGTTCAGATGGTCAAAGTGCATCAGCAGCTGGGCCTTGACTCGATCGCCATCGTCCTCGTCTGTTTCTCACTCCTTGCTATTCCTCTTCCCGCTTCCTTGCGCTCATCTTCAATCTTCTTCTCTAGAAGAGTGCTAGAAGAGAGCGAGAGAGAGCGAGAGAGAGAGCGGTCACTGATCGGGATCAATTCTACAGTGGAGATGTGACCCGACAGCCGCGCTTGGCAATTTTTGTGCCTTGTGATGAATTGACGTGGTGAGATGTTCACAGAGAGCTGAACATGACGACTTTCACGTCGGTCGTAATCAGACGGAGTTTTTCCAGCCCAGCTGCCGATGGTGCTGTGATGTGAATGTGGGATTGAGTCGCAAGTTTGGAAAACTATCTTCCGACATGATGCTTCACACGGTCTTCAGTCTGGATTGTTTTTCAAGCTTGTGACACTGTCCCACGTACACAAGGTACGACTGTCATGCGACTCTTCGTACGCGGGGAAGACACAAACACCTTTCCATGTGACATCTGGGTTCTGAGTGACTTGGTCGGTCTGTAATGCATACAATACTTTGCGATATGCTGGTAGGTTCTTTCGTGTCCTTTTTATGCATTCACAGCTCGAACACCGGAATCGCAATAGCTCGAAATTCTAATCGTCGTAGAGGAAAGAACGCTGAGTAGCTGTTGATAGAATTGAGCTGTAGCATTATATTGGTTGGCAATTTAGCTTATCATCTGCCCGTCGATGATCGCGTCACAAGATAGAAGCCCATGGACCGTGGGGCGAAATAACGGCTCTCTTCTTGGCAGCTGACGTCCCTGGACCTGAAGTGCATCTGAGTTTCTTTGTAATGAATGCAGATGTCCTTACAGCATCTGGCTTCCAGCTGTGGGTGTTAACAGAGCCTGTTGCTAACGTCCGTTTAATGGCTGTCGTGCGCTGTTCCAGTAAGAAGCTGTTGCTCAACGTTGTTGCGCAACTCATGAGTATGATCCATAGGAGGGTTTCAGGAAATCGACTTTAAGCTAGCTGAAATACCCAATTGTTTTTTTGAGAAAGACCTGTACCTTTCTTTCATGGATGAGAATGTGTGTTTCACCACGCAGATGACCGGATTAAAATCGATAAGATTTGTCTAACATAGGAATACCGATTCGCTATTAGGTAATATCTTCCATCCTCGGGAGTCCAACTTTGTCCCTTTACTTAAGAGATCGAGCTGTGATCTCTTTAACGGGACAAACCCCAGCTACGAAGTAGGTGATAAGATCTCACTTAGTTCACAGATGAAGACGTTTATTAGCTAGTGCGCTAAGGTTTTGATATATTTGCTAGCATCTGATTACCACACATCCAACTTGTAATTGATCTGTTAATATAAGGACTCTCTTTACTTGTACTAGAAGTGTGTACTCAATTGGAATTGTTGGGATTACTATGCAAGTTGCTATGAGATGTGACACTCGAGTTGAAGCTCCAAAATTTTAGCATGTGTGTTAATAGTGCTGTCGGTCGAGTTTGATGTTTTTTACACCAGTGAAGGTTAACTTTTCCTCAGGAATACATATGGAAAATTGCATTGGACAAATTGGCCCCCAAGTGCATGCCGATTGAAAAAATGGCATGATGTATCACGTATCCTTACATCTAATCGGTAGCCATTATTGACCAAGTGAAGAGTGGGATGTTGCTCAAATCTACTACCAATCTGTGAGATGGAGTAATCGAACTGACTGCGCTCTGTCTCTACCTCAAACCTCCAAAATGTAGTGTGTACTTGAGAACTATAATTGACATATTATACAACGCCAGTTGTTTCGTTCCTCCTTTCTCTCTCGTGAATCGAATATACAGCAGAGTAATAGACCAACATTGACAGTCATGTTTTGTTGGGATGTTTACACCAGATCTTGTGGAAAATAGACAGTTGAATTCGTGAAAGGAAAATTTTGACCGGCTTCATAACCAAATGATAGTACAGTCCCAAAAGAATGCCATCTTCAGGAAGGCAAGCAAATTTCTATGATAAGGAGGAACGTACGTGTGGAGTAGGACAGTATCATTCGCAACTGTCACTTCCTTCTACGCGTTTGTAAAAGTTCACGTGTTCATAGAACCCAAGTCAGATGACTCGTGAGTACAGTAGGGAACGGAATGGTACTTCCTGTAAATCTCGCACCCCCCCTAAATAACACAAGTACCCACGCTAGCGTAATTCGTGACAGTCTCCACGAGGCTTTTGAAACCGTCATGTATGACGTCTAAGGTGAAAATTTGACAGGGTGCTGAGCAATAGTCGACAGCCTGAATTCCCGAGTCTTCAGCTGATTCTCAAGTTTTTAATTCCTGTGTAAGAACAAATACTACTATAACGTGCTCAATGATCTTCATAAAGAAGCACTTGATATGGCCTCTGTGTTTGCACCAACGAATATGACAAGCGTTATGCAAACATGCAAAGCTGCCCAAAAACGTGCGTAAGTTAGCAGGCAATCAGTTGTTGGGAAAATGGCGTCAGCAACTTTCGAAGCCGTGACCTCCTGTACCGATAGTCTGACTATAGATGATTGCACATTATCGACACTGTACATTCTTGCTTCATGCTGTTGTGACTCCTCTCAGGTCCTCCAAGATCTGACTATGATGGGAGGAGCCTTGAACTCCAATAAAAAGCACTAGACATGGATTATATTAAATAGATGTCATAAAATAGCTGCTTAGTACATACTGTTGTCAGGTGGTAGTAAGCTTTGTGATTTTCGAGATCGAGCATTGAGTTAAGGAAAGAGCGGATATTGACGTATATGTATATGAGCCGGACACATCAGTGGGACTGCACTGAAACAGACCTTGCCCACTAACAAAACTTGTGTGTAGAATTTTTTAAACAATTCCACAGATATTCTCAGTAAGCTCATGGTGCTTAAAAAATGAACAGTAATTAAATAAAGATAATTGCAGTTTGGCAGTGCTCAATCTTTTCAACACTGTTGCATCCAGACTTCCGGGTATCGTACAGAAGTGATATGATTTCCATCTACCACGAGACAGTGCTTAGAGATAGAGATGTAAATGGTGTGAATGCGTCCTAGCCTACGGTCCATGTCATCCACTTCTATATAATGAGTCTGATTCTGGCCTTGGATATGATTCCTTGCAGTGGTTGAAAACCCGAGGGCGGTATTGAACAATCTAGCTTACCTTGAGGACTGATTTAAGGACCAGCTAGTTCAGCTACTGAGCCAAAGAAGGAACCAGAATTTTCCATGTGTGCGTATTAACTGGTTTTCGACTGTCTACGGACTTCTTCAGTGGCAGCTCTCGAGATTCCCAGCAGTACAAAGACTTCGTGCATTCGAGTTGTCCCCTTCTGAAAGAGGCGATTTTAAATCACTGAAAACCTGCAGCCAACCTGTACTAACTTTGGAATGATGTACGAGATGCGTGAGATCTCGGGTTGGTGCCATCGAGTATACATTATGTATCGCACATCCTAGTCTCGCCTACCTACATGCACAAATCAAATAAGGAAACGGATAGACTTTTGGCGCCATGTGCAAACTTAGATTTGGGCGGGATGGATTTGGGGTATTCTCATATGTAGCCTGAGTGGCTTTTCCATCCGAATTCCATGTGGCATGTGGTCTCTTTTGAGCATCACTCTTATTGATCAAGTAATTACATGTTTTCTTCACACGAAGAATGTTGCTTCTTGTGGGATTGACCGATCCGGTTTCATGAAAGTAGTCGATGGGTGCACGTTTTCTGTGAGGAAATAGACAGACTAGCATGTTTTTTCATATGCTGTGGAGAAGTTGTGCAGATGATTCACGACTTAAAGTGTCATGAGTGCACCATCTGTCACCTCAGACAGACAAGTCTTCTGGCGCGTCTGAGGAGAACTGAGATCGTGGTACCATGACATAGTTCCCATGTCACTAGCCACCAAAAAAGATCGGTCACCTTGTGATGCTAAATTATCAATTGTTCCGTGGTGAAACCGGGCAGTTAGAACTTTCATGCAAGTAAAAGTGGAATGTCCTTTCAACGCTATGTGCCATGTGCCACATTCGCACAAATTCGCCCACACGGTACCTACGTCCTCCAGGCAATTTATAGCGCTATGATCAAGGGTGAAAGCTGAGCATAGACTGCGTGACAATAAAGGATTGCCTGTGCATTTACAAGCAATGCAGTGGGATTGAACAGCATATTCAATTTACTGCAATTAGTAAATACGCCTCCCTCGAGTGAATCATCGTCTTGTATTTGAAACTGGAGTCGGCAACTAAGTCTGCTCTTGCCTAGTCGCATCTGTTTGGGGATCCAAGCCATCATAATAATCAAGGTTCATTAGATGATGAATCCGTACTTTATCCCTACTTAGATGTGCTTAGAGTCTAAGCCTTAGACACTCCTTTTATTGACGACTGAGACTGGTAAATACAAGCATGAGTTTTCTGGGATGGATTCGAGATATAAAATTCGACGACGGCACGAGGGACGACCCGGGACGAATTAATGAGCCGGTATCCTTAGACTCAGCTGAGAAGACACTTGGTAAAGAAAGGACAAAGACGCTGTGGTCCGTTCATGAAGGAAGAAAGATGTTTTCTTTATCGATCTAGGGATCTAGTCACGTAGATAGGGAAGATGCCTCGTGCACGGGAACTCGAACATCAATGCACGTACAGCTTAGGAGTGTACCAGGGGACCAGAGAGAGAGAAAGAGAATTGTGAGCCGAGCCAGCAGAAAAAGCGTGTCGGACTTTTCGTGAGAGGACTGGTAAAACCATTGTCTTCTGCTGCAAAACCCAGCGAGGAGTACGAAGTTCCGAGGACTGTATTCGCAACGTACTCCAGTGCAACCTCTTGCGTAACTGCTCCAGTTCCAAGTACCAGGATCTATGCTGCACGTTGATGTCATCGCGTCGGGCCTGACACAAGGAGTTCTTTGAAATATTTTTGCCATCCAATCCACATTCTGCGTCGTCACTAGTCATCGCGTACTGCTACACAAGTGTCTTCTGAGCTACGAAGCGGGATCGATTCGACTCCGGTTCGGCTCTCCATAAGTTCTAAGCCATCTGCTTTCACGTATACGACAGACGACATGGTAGATCATTCTTTTCGGGTCTGAGCAGACAATAGCTGAATTCGGCGCCAGTTCCGTGGCTGATTCGACCTCTGATTAGTAGAAAAAGGCTGGAAAAGAAGCCGAGTTGCGAGAAACCCTGCCGGCTATTATACACATGCTGGCACTATTCTGCGAAGGGAGTGACCGTACCCACTCAATAGGAGTCTTTGGCAGTTTTCGGATCGGCCGCATAAGGCCCGTTGGATACTGCTTCGAAAAGCACGGTAGGAAAACCGTATCAATCCCTGACTCAATCTTTGGATCTTCCTTGCGCTGTGATTGGCTCATTATCCGCAGCTAGGTCTCTGACACGGTCAATCAGAG